GGTAGAGACAGGGTTGCAACATGTTGCCCTTGCAAGTCTTGGAACTCCTCGGCTCAAGTGATCCCTCGCCACCTCTTTTTTCCCAAAGTATAGGATTGTAGGCGTGAGCCACTGCACCTGGCCCAGAAGCCTGTCTAATAGTTCATTTGCCCAAGAAAGGTGATGATGGTTGTATACACACCTATTAAAGTATCTCCGTTCCTTCTCTCCAACCATTGTTTTCCATATATTACCAAGTTTGGAGGCTCATGATGTAGACTTAGAATAAATTTACATCTTTATAAATATAAATTTAGTTGTTGTTTTGTTTGTTTTTTTTATTTTTTTTTTTTTTTTTTTTGAGACACGAGTCTCGCTCTGACGCCCCAGGCTGGGGTGCAGTGGCCAGATCTCGGCTCACTGCAAGCTCTCGCCTCCGGGTTTATGCCATTCTCCTGCTCAGCCTCCCGACTAGCTGGGACTACAGGCGCCCGCCACCTCGCCCAGCTAGTTTTTTGTATTTTTTAGTAGAGACGGGATTTCACCATGTTAGCCAGGATGGTCCCGATCTCCTGACCTCGTGATCCGCCCGTCTCGGCCTCACAAAGTGCTGGAATTACAGGCTTGAGCCACCGCGCCTGGCCAAATTTATTGTTTCTTTAACGTGATAACTGATCAAGGCCCAGCACAGTGGCTTACACCTATAATCCCAGCACTTTGGGAAGCTGAGACAGGAGGATCACCTAAGCCCAGGAGTTCGAGACCAGCCTGAGCAACACAGAGATCCCCATCTCTTAAAAAAAAAAAAAAAACAGAAATAACTGATCAAACTTTAAACTTTTCTAATTTCATCAGAAAATTAAGCTACATAATTCGATATCTCTAACCAAAGGATCCTGGTTTTACTTCAGATTATGATTCTCCCCTAAAATGTCTACTATAGTAATGCAGAGGTGTGTGTTTTTACTAGTTAATAGTCACATGGTCCAAAGTTCAGAAGAGTAAATGGCATAAAGACTTCCACTTCTTTCACTCACATACACAGCTCTCTTCTCTAGAAACGACCATTCTTGTCAGTTTCTAGACTATCTTTCCAGATATTATATGCATACACAAGAAAAAAGTGTATATTATTTTTCACTTAGAAATTATTCCATAATTAAAACAGTAAAAAGCATTCTTTTTTTAGCTGCCTAATAACTCCATTAATGGATTTTTTTTAAGATTGGATCTAATCTTTTGCTATTCTAGACAATACTAATATGAATAGCCTTATACAGACATTTTGCATGTGTGCAAATAAATATGTGGAATTCCTACAAGTGGAATTTCAGAGTCAAAGGGTTTGGAACGTTTATAAATTTGAAAAATATTACTAAATTTTACTCCATTGAGATTGTAACAGCTTACCCTCCTGCCAGCAATGTTAGATGTCTTAAAATGGAAATAGAGAAACATTTCTTATGGCCTAAATTAGTAGCAAATTAAATATATAGGGAGATTATATTTAGATGGCTGAGCTCAGTTATAAAGCCACTAAAGTTCATTTCATTTTAGAGTGATTTTCCAGAAGGAAAATTTTCTGGTAAATTAATTATTTAATTTAATTAAAAATTTTTTGTATTCTTTTTTAGA